AGCCGTCCATGTCCAAATTTTGAGTGATAGGATTTTGCTTAGAGAGGCCCTACGGAAGAACAATGGTCCGCAAAGTAGAATGCATAAACCATCTTCTCAGAAATTAATACACAAAAAAAATACAGTTTAAAAAACAAAACAGTAGGTCTAGGACTAAAAAAAAAAAATTGAGTGATATAATTTTAAAGTTACGAGTGGTAATTAAATCGCCTGTAAATTACCACAGAAAAACTATCAGAGATATTGTTGCCGAGGTGAAGCAGATATTAAAAACTCTCCTTACCACACATTTGGAAATCATTCAAACTGTGCACAATATTTTTGTAAAAGAGAACAAAACGACAAAGATTATATAACAGAAATGGAAGAATGCAAACTAATGGATGCTGGTAATAGGCTGGTTCAAAACAGCCACAGTTTATTATTAAACATGACTAATAATGCTGCAAAGATATATATTTCAATCGTAGCCAAATTTGTTAAAGGAAAGTGAATTAATTTTGCAGTAAAAGGAGGATATAATGTTCGGTGTACCGTGGCAGCCATTTCTATTAATAAAAAAGAAAATTATATTCCCACTCTTTATAAAGAGCTGTCAAAAAGTGTTCCTGGGATTCACACACAAAGATTGGTTACTCAAATGAGCAAACGTAGATATTAGTAATATTCGTAATAATAACAATAATGTTTATTTACAAAAAATACGATCAATAATTATATGTATAAAAATCATCTACTATTTCACCATATAAATATAAATTAAATCAATTTAAATGTAGTTAATGATTTATTTAAAAAATAATTCAACTAGATAAAGAAAGAAAACTTTCGAATACGTCGTCGAAGTAATAAATAAAAATAGTCTCTACAAAGAAATTACCATCAACACAATAGTTACAATATACCGACAAATTTGGCCAGCCCGCGTTTCAGGTGAAGATGAATACCGAGAAAGATAGGCGTCCCATTAGACTGAACGGAGAAGGATATAATTATTACACGTACAATTGTCTTTACATAAACAAAGAGAGGGTTGCGAATGGAAAGCGGTAGAACAGCCTAAACTACAACTGTAACTTAACAACACTTTTAAACTCGTACAATGATATTAATTTTCAATGAATTCAATTTTTTATGACCCTTTAAATAAAATATTTTTATTCTATTTCGAATTATTAAAATGGAAACAAATATATACTGGACACGCGATATGTGACTTAGGCTTCTGTTTATAAGTGGTTTCATTTTCCTACTAGTTCTCGAATAACGCTTCATTATTATTTGATTCGAGTGAATTTATCAATATCGGCATTTTATTCACCATCATTAGTTGCTAGAAACCTTTTTTATAATTGAGTAACATACAGAGAAAGTATATTACTATATCAAAGAGAAACAATATTTATAAATAAATTTAAAAAAAATTCCTATTTGGTGATTTTTCCATACTTTACTCCTTATCGCTTTTTATCTCTTAGTTCTACTTCCATAAATTCCCTCTATCCTCTTCCTAGGTGTAATTCTTTTTTCTTGTATAACAGTCATTTTTACGCTATGCTTTTAAAGTGGTTTAAAAAATGGTCGAAAAAGATTAATTTATATTTTTGATGTTGTTTTGAAATAAAATTGAAATTTAAAAAAAGAAGTAATTAAAATTATTGTATTGAAACAATTAAAAAAAAACAGGAGACATTGCAGGAGTCGTAGGAGAAAGGATAATACAGCAGCAGGAGGAGTAAGAGTGAGAGAAGTGGATCATAGAAATAGAAGACCAAACAGAAGAACGAGAATCATAAAAAAGGTCAGGAGAGAAGAGAAGCGGAAATTCATGTTTGTTTATGTTAAATTCGAATTCTATGTTCATTTCTATTATTATCATTAAGTTATTTATTTCAAAATATGCAGGGTGCCAAAGAAACTGTAACCCTTAATTCTTTAGAGTATTAGAAGAATTTAACCTTCCTGGGGTGGAACCATTACAAATAAGCGCTCAACGTGGGGCCTGAATTTGACAGCAGTAAGAGTGACGGAAGCAGGACAGCAAGGATCGGTCAAATAATTTTTCTGGTTTCCATAGTACGCTGATCATTGTGTGATTGTGTGGTGAGCTAGGTGAGTGATTAAGGTGGGGTATTAAAGAAGGGGATGTGTGTTTACTTAGTAAAGTATTAATAAATAAAGTAGAGTAAGAAATAAAAGGATTGCTAGTATTGGTGGTTGATAATGATACCAGAATGAAATAATTTTTTACGTTATCAAATATTGGGCCATTTCTTTTAATAAAATGCAGAAATTTGTCATATTTTTTAAAAAATAAATCTATCATGAACATAATTTTGGTCATATTTCAATCTAGACATACCAATAAATTTGGTGTCTTTTACACAACGCTTTGTCGGGATGTAAATCAAATAAATAAAATTTTCAACTCATTTCTAGGTTTTCAGGCTGTAATAATTCACCGCCCCGTTTCAATTTTTCCTCAAAACGTATATGCCTTCATCGCATTGTTTGTTTTTTACTTTTATTAAAACCTCTAAAAGAAATCTATTCAACTTGACAGACATGGTTCGATGAGTTATTTCGTTTATTCTCGCGCTTATTCATATTTTTATATCGTTCACAAATCTTTTATTTTGTAAAATAACAATGACGCGTGCTGAATAGAGAATATCAAATATTTGGCACAACGAAGGCGAGAGAATCTACCTAAAAAAGTCGTCAAAGCAATGCAATAAAGCTGGAGGATGCGAAAGTAGTGTTTGTTGATTTAAACAAGATGATTACTGAAATGTCACTTACGCTTTCTAGTTCGACAAAAAAGTGTGTTCTACTAAATAAATTGGAGTTGTTTTTATTTTGAGCTTTTGCAATATAAATGTTAGTTGAACTTAATACATGTTTTTTTTGTTTGTATTACATTACCGTTTAAAAATTTGTATTTATGATATATTTAAGAAAATTCAAAAAGCTGTTTTATTTTATTGGTAATGGTAAATTTTTGCCTACAGTTTTTATATCAATGGGGGCAAATAATTTGGTGTTTCACCTCCAAGGAATCTACTACTACCCCCACAGACACTAAGAGAATGATCTGAGGTTTCATCTATTCGATTCTGACTGAGTATTGTTCATCTGTATTGGAGGGAGCTGCAAAGACATAGCTGTTACGTTCACACAAGAAAAACGAAGGATACCGACTCGAGAAAGGTTTTATTTATTTTAATTAATTTCATGTATACTCTTTTAGTCTAAGCTTTGGTACCAGCACCTATGATCCTGTAATATATTAAATTTTACTTATTTTTGTAGTAGGGGATTATTTGCCCCAACAAAGAACTTGACAAAAAATTAGAAAAATTAAAAAAAAATCGTAATTTACCTAACCTGTGCGGCCTGAAGCCATGACGGGATGCTTATATGCCTCCAGGCCGCGCAGGTTAGGTAAATTAGTTTAATTAAAATACTGGAATATTTTGACATGTGCTTTTATGGTATAAGTTATTTTATTTTGTGCTATTTTGTCCTTGTCCTATTTTGTCCTGGCGCTATTTTGTCCTTGCGCTATTTTGTCCTGTACTATTTTGTCCTTGCCCTATTTTGTCTTACGCTATTTTGTCCTTGCGCTATTTTATCCTTGCGCAATTGTATCCTGAGCTATTTTGTCTGCGCTATTTAGTCCCGCGCCATTTTGTCCAGCGCTGTTTTGTCATGGAGACAAATAATCTACAGTTATCACGATAGATGACTGTAATAGTATTTGGTCAAAAACGTAGCACCCAATATTAGGAACTATCCTCATATTAGGCGTATTAAAACTCAAATTCAAATTAATTAACACAATAATAAATGCAATTAGAATTAAACATTACTTTGATGAAACTTACTTTAATAAGCACTATAAATCAAATTATAAAACAACAAACGATACGTAATCTTAAGAAGAATAATTAAAACTTTTTTCAAAAAGAAACAATTTATTCCTTTTTGGAAATGTTACTGTTTCCGCTTCTTTTATATTAAAAGGATGAAATATATTTGAAGTCTTTTGATACGAAGAAAATAAACGTAGAGACATAATGGTGCTCTTGGGGACTATTCGGTGAGAGGCGGACTTCGAAAATGGACGTAATAAAAGTTGAGAGAGGTCCTAGTATCTTTGTGGAGCAACTTCCTATTCATTGCTTAGTTGGAGACAACGAACTACACTTTTCGTCTGTTTTCAGTTTTATGTCACATTTATACAGAGCCTCTCAGGTAATTTATTAACAATTCTAAGTGAAATAAGAAACGTATTTAAATAAAATAGTGCTTTAAAATAATGTAGACGTCTTTATTTTTCACTGAAAAAAAATTCTATATTTTACTCTATTTAGTTTCCTGTTACGAAAGGTTAACATTATTTGAAACATAGCATGTACGAAAACTTGAAATTGTCTTGTTTAAACTCTAATAGCAGAGGTTCGAACTTTAGATTGAAATGTCAGCAACATTATTTTGTTTGTGTAAGGATTTTCAGGGCTTGTTGTTTGAAAGGTTTTAGTTTATAAGTAATAAAACTTTTAATGTAAAGGATTTAAATTATTATGAAATTATATAAATACGGAAACTAAATTCAATATAAACGGGTTGTTCCATTTAGAATGAACTATGTGAAACACCAGGCAAACCAATTAAAAAAGCACTTCATACACTCACATAGTTTTAAAGCAAATATCTTAATTATGTTTCCTTCTATCTTTCACATTAAACTAAAGTTACTAAAATGCAATGTCCTTTAATTTTCCAAGTATCTGTATCAAATGGGTATAAGACGGCACCGAGTGAAGTATTTATAACCGTCTTAACGGAATTTCAAACATCTGCAGACTATAACTTTTCCCTTGAGCGCTTAGAAATTACATTAATAGAGAGTGATGCTCTTTGTAAAATTTATTAACAAGTCATTATAACTACTTCTTGTATTTAGAATATGCATTAAAAATTCAGTGAATCATATACTACGATTTTATTTACAATTATTTTCAAAAATTAATAAACAAGCAACGTAAAAAATCAAATACAATGTTTATTTTAATCAAAATCACCACAATTACTAATAGCAATGAGTTCCAAAGGACATTTCACTTGGGTATAAGTTACATTAGGATTTGGAACACCTTCCATCCACGTAAATCTCCATCTGCATCCTTCTTGTAAAACCTCCGGTAAAAGGTTACATTCTTCTATTGTGTGCACTCCTCCATACCTGTCACCCCATCCATCTTCTGAAGCATTCCACTGTACTTGACAACCGATGTTGCCGAGTCCAACTCCTCCTCCAGGCATTTGAAGGTCAAACTGACTGGATGCTAAATCGGCACCGGTGTTGATGACTTGTACTAACATTTGTTTGCCAGATAATTGTCCTTGGAAACTTAAGAGGTAGCATTCGCAGCAGTGGCCATAATCAATGCTTCCTGTAAATGTATATTATTAGTCAGTTTTAATGTAAATGAAAGGAAAGAATCTTCAAAGGTTATTGAAGTTGAGTATTCGTTAAAGACGTATACGTGAAGATATGGTACTATAGACGGATAGAGGATGTCTTACACCTTCTGCAGGAGTTTGAAGGTCAAAATGGTTGGAGTTAGAATTGAGATAACTATTCTTAAGAACTTAAAACAAAACATTCTTAGCAATGGGTGACATCAGAACCTTTATTCTTTGTCATTACATCAAAAAATAACGGATTTATATATCTACAGTTATTACCAATTTTAAAATAGGAATTGTACTTTACCTACAAACGAAACTGCAGCAAATCCATACGAAAGAGTGGAATTAACAACAATTGGTTGTTGGTTAGTGCAAGTAAAAGCATTTCCTCGATTTGGGTTGCAAACGGAGTTTCCGTTGTTTTCCTTCGTACTGTTAGTTACACCGTCAATTTGGCAGGATCTTACAGGAAAACCATTTTTAGTGTGAACAATAGCGTCCCAGTTACAAGATCCACCACAGCAGTCCCAGTACCTAGTGGTTATTGCTTCACCGGTTAATCCACCGGGGATGGGAATTATTTCTGGGGAATACTCCTTAAGGGAAGTACTTGCTGTAATAATAAAATTGTTGTAGGTGTAAGTGCAATTAAATAAAATTAAACAAGGGAATTTTATTGTATTGTGTGTGGAACTTTTGCATTTTAAAAATAACTAAAGAACGTTAAATATAATCTAATATAATGCTGATATAATTAACGAAACATGGATCGAAAATTAAGTGGTTTCATTTAATTGACACTGTTGTCTTATAAACCATATACAATTTTGTTAAGGAATTATAATTATCAGTAGAACTAATTCATTAAACTGTAGATGATGGTGGGTGAACCTTTTCAGGCTCTGCAGCCCCTTTCAAGCTCTTCTTTGAGAGCTTTACTTGCAAGGAAGTGAATTATAGGAAGAGTGTTATTATAAATACTTACTAATTGAAAGATTTAAGGAACAGTCAATTTTGAAAGGATTCGATTAATTCTAAAAGTGAAAATGGATTGTAACTGCTAAACGGGTAGTTACAACAGAGAAAGTAACATGAGCAATACGCACCTTCAATCCATACAAATCACCGGGAACAGATGGGGTACTGCCTGTGCTTTTGCAACAGGCACTAGAAACGCTGGCCCCGTATATTTATAGGCTCTACAGGGCAAGTTTGGTGCATAAACATGTATCAAATACCTGGAAACAAAGCAGAGTTGTCTTCATACTTAAACCAGGGCGTCCAACGTATGGCGTGGCAAATGCCTATAGACCAATAACTCTGAAGTCATTTCTATTGAAATGATTGGAAAAACTGATTGATTAGCATGTCCGGCAAGCCACTCTGATAGAGAGGCCATTTCATACAAACCAACATGCCTATCAATCAGGAAAATCATGTGAGTCTGCTCTGCATCATCTTGTAACCAAGATAGAAGGAGGACTCAGTAGCCAAGAAATAGTCCTAGGAGCATTTCTTGGCATAGAAGGAGCTTTTGATAATATCTCCTTTAAATCAATGGTAGCTGCCGCTCGCAAACATGTAATAGAAGGCACCATCTGCTGGTGGATAGAAGACATGTTATGCGGACGGCAAGTACAGGCACAAATGTTCAATGAAACCATACAGGTGAATATCCACAGGAGATGCCCACAGGGTGGAGTCCTTTCTCCTCTACTGTGGACCCTAGTGGCAGATGAACTGCTGAAAACATTAAACAATCAAGGGCTGTACGCCCAAGGATATGCCGATGACATAGTCATCCTTATCTAAGGAAAACACTAAACCACAGTCTTTGAACTCATGCAAAGAGCTCTTAGGCTGACAGAAATGTGGTGCGTTAGGGATAACCTCTTGGTAAACCCTGACAAGGCACAACTTATAACCTTTACTCGGATAACAAAGTTGAAGGTTTTAGAAACTCCAACTCTGTTGGGAGGAAGGCTAAACAAAACGAACCAAGTAAAATATCTGGGTCTAATCCTAGATAGCAAACTTACTTGGAATCAACACTTACAAAAGGGGAGACGGGCATTTGGAAAAACATGGGGATTAAAACCAAAAATGGTCTACTGGCTATATTTGGCAATAACAAGTCCCATGATAACTTATGGAGCGGTTGTTTGGTAGCCAAAAGTAAACCAGAAAACAGCCCTCAATACCCTCTCCGAATTACAGAGGCTGGCATACCTTTATATTACAGGGGCATTGAGAAGTACACCGACAGCCTCTATTGAAATCATTCTAAACCTCCCACCCCTTGACCTAGTCATAAAGGGGGAGGCCAGAATGAGTGCATACAGACTGGAAATCTCCAACAACTGGAACCCACTGGGACATATAAAACATACCAGAATAACACATGAAGTAAATGATTCTATATAAAATATGAGATCAGATCACGACACCCCTCCCAACCTTTAACAGACTCTTCCAGGTCAACTGTAACTGGAACGAGGTAAATAAGGAGATAGATAAATTCTTGCTTAGCGGTCTCGTATGGTATGCGGATGGATCTAAAACTAACAAGGGAACAGACTCTGGCGTACATAGAGTTCAACCCAAATGCGACAACAAGGTCTTACTAGGAAAACATGCCACTGCATTTCAGGCTAAAATACTTGCAATTAAATGGTGTGTACGGGAGAATTTAAGAAGGAAGTACAAAAAACAAACCATCCTAATTCTCTCAGATAGCCAAGCAGCCTTAAAGGCTCTTAATTCAAACAGAATCAAGTCAAAGCTTGTCTGGGACTGCCTTGGAATACTAAATGATCTGGAAACACACAATAAGGTAAAACTAGCGTGGGTACCAGGGCACAAAGGTATCCAAGGAAATGAAAAGTCTGATGAACTCGCCAAAGAGGGATCAGATCTACCATTCATTGGACCCAAACCTGTATCTGGGATAAGCAAAACCTCTTCTCGACAGGCAATAATAGGTGGATAACCACAAAACATCAAATTCACTGGCAACAGATAAGAGATAAGAGGGCACAGAATCAGTGAGCTCATGCTAAGGGGACCAAACTCACGCATGGCTACTCAGGCACTACAACTCGCAACGCCTTAGATATCCACAATTGTGGGATTACTAACGGGGCACTGCTTGCTGAAACACCTACATGTGATGGGATTACATAATGATCACACTACGTGTAGACTGGAAGAAGAAACCTCATACTATGTAATATTCGAAAGCGAAGCTCTTACTAGGAACACTTAGTAGGGAACTTATTAAAACTAACCAAAGACACAGGACTATTCCAAAGATAGTACCTGAATACGAGGAAAGCAGGGAAATACAGTAGACCCAAGAGGACGCAGTGTTCTGGGCCAAACCTAACCCTACCTGCTTACAACCGATAAAGCTAAAGATGCATCGAAATTTTTATTCCTATTTTTATCCTATTCTTATCAAACTATATTTTTTTATCAAATAATATATAAAAAAACACTTTTAAAAAGACCAACTTTATTTTAACCTACAAATATGAAATCGTTACGCCACTGAGTTATCACATTTACAATATAGCGCTGACTATGACGCAACTTTCGCGCATACTGTTGTGACGCAGTTGAACTTTTCTTAAATGGAACAGACTCTGCATTAGATTTATTTTACTATTTTCCTATTTGTTTTGCAAAAGAGACTGCTTTTATCTCACAAAAATGAGTGAAAATGGAAAATTTTTATGTGTGACTTTAATGTCACATATATTAATATTCGAATACCATAAACAATATTTATGAGTTGAAATTTTACCAGAATAAAACGTCAGATTGTAGCTATTTTCGACGGCAGTTTTAAAAACAAATATTATTAGGACATTTTATGTTCAAAAAGTAGCTTTTTGTAATAAAAATAGCTATATGAAAATAATACACGAAATATTCATATATGCGGTGAAAATTCGTTAGAATGATACTATGGCAACTCGATGAATGCTTTTATTCCTCACCACTAGTTTTTCAAAACATTTATTTGTTTTTTTAAGTGTAACTCATATTTAAAAATTGAATAGCTAAAGAAGCCAATTATATTTTCAATCCAACAGTAATATAAATGCTATTTTATTGCTATTGTATAATAGTATTTAAATCCTGGGTGGAAAAAACATGAGATAAAATAAATATAATCTGCTCAATTGATGACAGAAGTTGCTATTTTATCATTATATTCTTTAACATGAACCTAATCAATAGTAACTAACATTCGGCAATATAGATACTTTAATGTACTTATTTGAAACTTACCTGCAACTAAAAACAATAACACGAGAAATTTTGTTAACATCTTGGTTTGTATTAAACTTTTATTTATGGTAAATAAATATTTATACCTAATTTTATAAACCACTTCAAAGATATGCCATTTAAAATGATCACGAGCCATTGTTTAAATAGATACATATATTATCCTCTTTTAAAAATAGATAAATACAATTACGATAAAGTTTCCATTTGATACAATACTAAAAAACATATTTATACATAATAAAAATTATAAGTGCTGGTCTTTTCACCTCTGAATAAAATTAAAAGTAACTATAAGATCTAAAAAAAAATAAAATCTAATAGTCATGTCACAAAATATTATGAGTGGCCGTTTTCGTTCAAAAAACAACTACGTCTTTAGCTAATAACACAACAAGAATAGAATTCTTATAACAACCCTCGTATCTTCTTCAGTATTTTAGAAACGCGTAGCAGTTAATGAAAAATAAATACAACCAATATTATCAAAAGTAACAATGAGACCGAACATCACTATCTACTTTGAATTGATTGAAAGATATTTAACTTTAAAAGGAAATTATTAATCATTGCCTTTGGATATTTTCAATTAGTTTTCCAATTTCCCTTGATCAACCTATTCTTTATTAAAAAGTTATGTATCGATTTTGGACGTGTAATAATAATAATAATAGCACGAAAAATTGTAATACTTTTTATTTCTTTCTCCTTTAGTAGTCAATCTAAAAGTCATTGGTGTCTGGATAACGGGGCAGAAGAGGAATGAAAAATTATTGAAAAAAAAAATGCGTTTTTCTTTTAAACAAGTTTGAAATAACAACGTTTTGACACAAATTACTATTACTTGTGTAACATGTAATGTTTTCTCATAAATATTAAAATAAATCCATGCAGTGGCGACTCGTGAACAAAATATTGTAGTTTCACAATGACAGAATATATAAATCTTAGTAGAGATTTAGGCAAAAAACTTTTAGTGTTTATAATATACTTTTTTAAAACACTAAAAGTTTGTATTGCATGAATTATTTTCTGCTGGTTGAAAGGATACCAGTAATGTTGCTAGACCGTAATGTCCACGTGGTCGATTTTTTAATACAATTTCAGTTTGAAAATCGCTGTATTGTTTTACCTATCAAAGTTTCCCCTTTTGTGGGTTTCAATTAGAATAAAACAATAGTAATTATATCGAGCAAGTAATCGCATCAATAATAGATACTAATTTATTATTTAGCACATAATCACAGACTGTGATTAAACTTAGTCAATCTAAATATATAAATCATTAAAGCTTCCCATGTTTCTTTATCTTATCCCTAAATCCTTTGAAATATCTCTCAAGTTGCACCAGATACATAAATCAATCATCATCCCTAATAGTTCACACGAGATTAAAACCCTGAAAGCGATTTCTCATTGAGTTTCAAACGGAGCATCGATGAAATGAACACGAATAATAGGAATGCTTAAGTAGTGGACTTCAAACGGATTTACCTTCTGACTATCGAATTGAGAGGTTTAATTTAAACGATTTTCCATCTAAAATTATTTCAGTTGTACAACACGCAACAAACAATTATTTTGCCCTATAAAAGACCATACAAACAAAGGGATTATTATTATAAAAATACGATTATTACTAACATCGAGCTGTATGTGTATATTTATATTCATAGATATGTTTTGTAATTATCAGACAGCTCGTTGCTTATTATACAAGGAGGCTACGGAAGCTACTTAATACAAATATATTGTAACGGGTAACACTCCGTACACAAAGATAAATAATAATTTCTGGTAATTGTAAATAATTTAGACGAGAAAAATTGTAAAAATGTTATTTTAATGAACAATAAAACGAAACTCAATGAATAACATTTATAATAAAAAGAAACTAACTTGACTAGAATCAAGATTAAAATTGAAATAAGTTAAGATTTTGAAACAGCCTCAGAAAATAACAAAATATTATAATTTCAAGTAAATTAAAATTTAAATTACTTACAAAATTGATCGCCTCTACCTAAAAATGACTTCACACATTATTATCCATCATTATTTTATATTTTTAGTAAGGTAAGTTGGGGTAATTGTAAAAATGGGGCAAATGCTCTCCTACGTCATCAACCGAAAACCGTCCGCTCCCTCCTTAAATGAAAGCCACCACTTCCTAGTTGCCGCTTAAATTAAACAAGCGCGTCAAAATCCGCTTCACTTTCAGATCGATTTCAGACGATGCATGGTCGACTGTTGTTATTTCACTCAGTAACCAAATCCATGGTTTTCGGGTAAGTGTTTGAAAGTTACATTTTTTAAATGATTTATAAGTTGTATTTTTGTGAAGTTTTATGGAAAATTGAATTATAAGTTTTTTTCTGAAGACCTATAACACATTTACCCCGCGAAAAAAGGAGGTCAGGGTAAATGTGTTATATTCTATATTACATTTACCCCACAGGCTATTACATTTACCGCTTTTATTTTTTCAGATAAAATAGTTTATAAGAAAAAGAAAGGAACCAAAGACCCTAAGCACCCAATAGAAACGTTGGAGCTAGCAGTACGAGAATGCCAAGCGGGACATTTGACAATGTATAAGGCGTCTACAAGATATAACATACCATACAGTACCATATATAGTCGCGTAAAAGAACTTTGACGAATGAAGAAAAACTTTAAAGGTCGACAAACAGCATTAACGAGCAATCAAGAGCAGGAGTTAGCCTCTGGACCGGCCATTTTATTTTGGAAAAGTGCGGTTTTGGCCATCAAAAAAGGAAGTTTTGGAACAAGTTTCTCTTTTTGTTAAAGAAAATAAGTTAGAAACTCCTTTTAAAAATGGAATGCCAGGAAATGATTGATTCCTAGGTTTTTAAAAAAAGGCATAATCTTGGCATTAAAGCATTAGCAGTTGAGTATGCTAGAAAAAAAGCCACTGATCCATTTATTATTTATCAATACTTCGATGTTTTGAAAAAAAAAACCTTGATGAAAGTACTTTTTCCATAGATCCTAGCAAGACAAAAGTGGTTGGTGAACGTGGAAAACCCTGTGCAAGAGTAACAAGCCCCCCTGGGCGCGAAAACACAACAGTATGTTTTCTGGCAAGTGCTGCAGGTGAAAAGGCACCGCCACTAATTATTTTTAAAGGCGCCAATATATGGGATCAGTGGCAGGCTCTGTACAGTCTTTTTCCCGGTGTCGTATGCTGCCAGTCAAAAAGGTTGAATGGACGCGGAAATTTTTTAAAATTATTTCAAAAATACTGTTATCCCTGCATTAGGCCCAGAGAGGCCTCAACTTATTATATATGATGGCCATAAAACTCATGTATCTACGGCTATAGTTAATTTGGCAAACGAGAAACATGTAACAATTATCAAGCTACCGCCACATACAACCCACCTTCTTCAACCACTGGACTTATCGGTTTTTAAGTCGATTAAAGATGCTTGGGATATGAAGCTGGTAAAATGGCAGCGACATAAGATTGGACGACACCTTCCAAAAAATTTGTTTTCTAAGTTTATTGCGGAGACCTGGTCAGAATCTAATTAAAGCGTCATTGTAAATGGTTTTAGAAAAGGGGGCATTGTTCGTTTTAACAACGAAGTAGTCCCCAGGGAAAAATTTGACAGTGAGGCCTTGAAAAGATAGGAAGCTCAAACCTCAAACACTTTAAACAATTTGGAAACCGCTAAAGTTGGTCCTGTAAATACCTCCACAGCAGAAATGAGCACCAATTTAGATGAGGCGAACACTAGTCTAGCTGAGACGACCAATAGCACAGCTAAAGCCATCACTAGCAAAGCTTCATTTGAGTCAAATTTATTAAAATGCGTGACTCAAAATCAAGCTCCAACAAAATTTCCTAAAAAAAAATTAGCGGTTAGGTCTTAGGTTATAATAGCGCCAAAGCAAGATGTTTTTTTTTTATTTATGGCCTAGGTGTATAAACCTAATATGCCAGTCTCAGTTTGTGTTTAAATTCTCAATCATGTGTGTTCTGTGTGGGCTTTGTTACTGTTTCCCAGCGCCACTTCAGGAACAGCATTGTTAATTAGAACCCAACAGTGAATGGTCGAGTGGGGAATCCTACCAAGGCATCAGATTTAATTTTAAATAATTAAATTAAATAAAAAAATCCCGGCCAACGGTGTGATTCGAACCTGGAACCCTTGGATCCACAGGCAGAGACTGAGCCACCCACCGATATGGCGAATTCAAAAACTAGGGTAAGAAAAGCATTTAGCTCCTCCAGTGAATCTAGACATTTATTTTTTCAATAGTCAGATAATTCAGAGGAGTTTATATCTGAATTATTAGAAAATTAGAATATTGAAACTTATGAGGAGCCCCAAATTTTAGAAATTAATAAATGGGTGTTGGCCAATTTGCAACAAAGAAAATTGTTAAGCATTTTGTTGCCAAATAATCGAGAAACTAGATTCTGATATTAAATTTTTAAGATAAAAAAAAATAAGTTGTTTTGGCCTGACGTTGAAGATATTTCAATGGTCGAGAATACAAACATAATAAAAGTTCTTCCTGAACCAAAAGAAACCAAAAGAGGTGCAGCGCAGTTCACAGTGCAATTCCAAGGTTTCAATCTCTAATAATTATTACGTATTACAAAAAAAAGATTTGTTACTGATATTTTCTAGTTTTTTTTTATATTAATAAGTAATATAAAATAAGTTTTGTATTTTGCTTTACTTTTGTATTAAAATCGGATAAAACGAAAAATTTAGTACTTATTTGCGTTATTTTTTATCCAAAACGGACCTTTCAAATACCAAAATGTACAGAATTTTATAAATTTTTACAAATGCCCCCTAGAGACTAACCTAACCAATCGCAATAAGTGCTGGACGACATTATCACATTTACCCCAAATCATGGGGCAAATGTGATATATTGACATCATTTTAAAAAAATAATATGTGAAAGTGAAATACTAACACAGTGGAGACCTAATGATGAACTGTTCAAATTTTAACACGCAATTACCCCAACTTACCTTAAATAAATGTATTTTATCCTAGATATTCTTCATATTCGAATTATTGATTAGATATCTTAGAGTGTTCATATGTTGTTTTCAAAATAA